ACTCACAGAGACCCATCTGCCTCAGCCTCCGGAGTGCTGGAGCTACAAGTGTGTACCATTAGACAACTCCAGGTAACATCTTTGTTTGGCAGCAGTTGATGGTTTGGGGAGAACCAGGGCATTTCACATGATATAACCTATGCTGTACCTCAGAGTGTAAAATTATTTGACTTGTTCAAATCCTTTGATATTTGGACATCCAAGAGACTTAAATAAGTAACAAAATACTATTCTTGCTTTGTATGAGGTTAAAAAAAAATAACTTCTTGCCGGGCGATGGTGGCGCACGCCTTTAATACCAGCACTTGGGAGGCAGAGGCAGGCGAATCTCTGTGAGTTCGAGACCAGCCTGGTCTACAGCAAAAAAAAAAAAAAAAAAAAAAAAAAAACTTCTTTCTTTAGTCTTAAAGTTATTCACTGATGAACATTCTTAGTTGGTTCTGATTTTTCTTTTTCTTTCCTTTTTTCTTTCAGTATAGGAAATCAAATTTATGCATGCTGGCCAAGCACTCTTCTTCTATTGAGGGTCACCCTCACTCACATTTTTTTTTTTTTTTTGAGACAGGGTTTCTCTGTAGCTTTGGAGTCTGTCCTGGAACTCACTCTGTAGACCAGGCTGGCCCCGAACTCACAGAGATCTGCCTACCTCTGCCTCCTGAGTCCTGGGATTGAAGGCGTAAGCAACCACTGCCTGGCTAAATGTCTTATTTAGTGCTGTATTACCAGTGACTCTATCAAGTGTAGCAGGTGCTTAAAAAACATTTGCTGGATAAATTAATGAAATTCAAATGAAAGCTATTAGAAAGCAATCATTGATTTTTGTCACGATTATATGTCATAGGTATGGCATATAAATTTATTTTTGCGGGGCTGGAGAGATGGCTCAGAGGTTAAGAGCATTGCCTGCTCTTCCAAAGGTCCTGAGTTCAATTCCCAGCAACCATATGGTGGCTCACAACCATCTGTATTAGGGTCTGGTGCCCTCTTCGGGCCTGCAGGCACACATGGAAAGAATCCTGTATACATAATAAATAAATAAATAAATAAATAAATAAATAAATATTAAAAAAATAAATAAAAAATGAATTTATTTTTGCCATTATAGATATGACATAATTGTCATTATAGACACTTCTAGGTTGCAAATAATCTCCTTCACAATCGGGAGAAATTTGATTTTTTCAACTTTTTATATAACATGAATTTCAAGAATATTAAAATTCCAAGTAATTGGCAGATGAAAATAAAAGAATAAATTCTATAAAAGCAAAACCAACAGAACTATACAGAAACAGATTAGAAGAGTTGAGGAAGCCTGAGCCATCCAGTTGTGAAACGATTTCACTATCTGGCATATAATTATGCTCATTAAATGTTGGCTAAACAAACACTAATATTCACATAATTAAGGCTATTGGGTCGCAAGAACAGTACATTATTATTATTATTAGTTTTTTTTGGTTTTTCGAGACAGGGTTTCTCTGTGGCTTTGGAACCTGTCCTGGAACTAGCTCTTGTAGACCAGGCTGGTCTCGAACTCACAGAGATCCGCCTGCCTCTGCCTCCCGAGTGCTGGGATTAAAGGCATGCGCCACCATCGCCCGGCTCAGTACGTTATTATTAAAGTAACCGGGTTAAGCATAGTATCTCTCTAGTTAACTAAAAACATTTTGAGAACTCCTAAGTTCAGCATGGCACTATAGCCACTAAAAATACACAGGCATTTCCCTAGCATTGTACAATTCAGTCACTTACCCCAATTTTTATATAATCATGAATCATTTCTTCCTTTCTTCATGATTGAAAATCCACTTAGGGTGTTTAGGTAATAGTAATTTAAAGGTAGCTCATAAAGGAACTGTTAGCCCTGGGTAGGGCCAGTTATAACATGTTCAAGCAAAAAATGAAGAAAGTACCTTTGGAATGTACCTAGATGTTCAAAAAAAAAAAAGCTGGTTGTTATTAAACGCTATCTAAGGGCTGTTTTATAGCCGGGTGGTGGTGGCACACAACTTTAATCCCGGCACTCCTGAGGCAGGTAGATCTTCAAGTTCCAGGATGGTCACGATGTAATAGAGAAGAAAAACAAACAATAGAACTGTTAGCCTGGCGGTGGTGGCACAGACCTTTAATCCCAGAACTCAGAGGCAGAGGCAGGCGGATCTCTGAGTTGGAGGTCAGCCTGGTCTACAGAGTGAGTTCCAGGAAAGCCAGAGCTCTTACATGGAGAAACCCTGTCTGTAGTAATTAGGAGCGGCGGGGCTGCGTCCCCGGCACCCGGCCGCCCCCACGGCCCCCATCAAAATAATTACATGGACAGGACACTGTATTCTTTTAGACACTGCTTGGCCCTTTAGCTCTAGCCCTTACAGGCTAATTCTCACATCCCGATCAACCCATCTCTAATAATCTGTGAGCACCGGTCTTAACCGGGAAAGGTTCAGCATGTCTAACCTGGCGGCTTGCTTCATCGCGTGTGTCTGCCCGGGAGAGCGGAGCATGGCATCTCTCTGAGGCATCTGCTCCCGAGAAGAGAGCTGTGGAGTCTGAGCTCACTTCCTCTTCCTCCCAGCGTTCTGTTCTGTTTACTCCTCCCACCTATCTCTAACCAATGAGAGCCAAGCAGTTTCTTTTTATTTAACCAACGACCTTCCTCCATCACCTGTCTCAAAAACAACAACAAAAGATTTCTCTTAAGGATTTTGTTGCTCTTCTTCCTATGAAAACTACCCCGTGGCCTGGAGAGATGGCTCAGTTAAGAAGATGACTGCTTTCCCAGAGGACTTGGGGTCAGTTCCTGGCATCCCTATAGCAGCTCACAACTGTCTATCACTCTGATTCTAGGGGATCCAAAACCCTTGGCAAAACACTAGTAGAAAAAAGAACACTACCCCAATTATCTCTTGACCTCTACTTTGAGTACTTTGAGAGTAGAGGATGCTTTGCAGTTTCTAGGTTCTTCTTTGATAGATCAGGCTGGCCTGAATTTCATAGAGATCCCTGAATCCTGGGATTAAATGCCTGCACCCCACACCTGGCAGATATATTTCTTTTAAGTAATAGAAGTTTTAAAAATAGGATCCTTGCAATTTTTTAAGATTTATTTTATGTACCTGGGTATTTTGCCTGTATGTATGTTTGTGCCTGGTGCCCAGGTAGGCCAGAAAAGTATGTCAGATCCTCTGGAAGTGGAGCTAAAGACATTTGTGAGTGCCATGTGGGTGCTGGGATTGAACTTGGGTCCTCCGGGAGAGCGGCAAGTATTCTTAATTACCAAGCCATCTCTCCAGCCTCTGACAACTGCAGTTTTCATACTTTTAAACTAGTTTTGGAGACTCAGTCACAAACTAAGTAAGTATTTGACACAATTCATAAATTCTAACATTTTTCGAAGAGAGTTGACTAAGTTCATAAACGTGCTTATGGCCAAGTGTAACAGTCTGAATTCAACCCCTAGGACCACATGACATGCATGGTCAAAGGAGAGAACTGAGCTGTCCTTTGACCTCCATATTCAAACACACACACCACACACACACAGAATGAAAGAAATCTAAAGAAGAAGAAAGTAGAAATTTATGCTTAGTGCCTTTTGCCACCAATGGAAGACTGGAAACAGTTCTCAAAGCTGTAAAATTTTCTTACCTACGGACAAAGATGGCTCTATAACCTCCAAACTCATTTTAGGTCAAATACAAAAACTATAAGGTATTTTAACTTGAAACAAACCTATAATAAATATTCATTTTGTTTTTGGAGACAGGGTTTCTCGGTGTAGCTTTGGAGCCTGTCCTAGAACTTGCTCTTTAGACTCGGCTGGCCTTGAACTCAGATATCTGCCACCACTGCCCAGCTAAATTCAAGTATATTTTACAGGAGTTATAAAGAATCCATTATGTAGCCAGGCTCTTGATGGCACAGGCCTTTAATCCTAGCATTTAGGAGGCAGAGGCAGGAGAATCTTGAGACCAGTCTGGTCTAGAGAACAAGTTCCAGAACAGTCAAGGATACACAGAGAAACCCTGTCTCAAAAACAAACAAAACAAAACAAAAAATAAACAAAAGCAAAACAACAACAAAAAAACCAAAACAAAAAAAGAGAAAAGAATCCAGTGTGTGATTATGTGACAGGCATTCTTTTAGGCACTGGAATACAAACATAACAAAACACCTTTGCTTTACGGAATTGTATTTTAGTGAGAGGTGGCATTTCTCCCCTCCTTGTAGGAAGAGGGTTACAGCACTTTTTTAAAAAGCTGAGGTCTTCACAAGTAGGTTTGAACTGTGTTCTAGGAATTGGCTATTGAATTGGAGCAGCACTTCCTAAGCGTTTATTTGAATCTGTATTGTTGGCTCCACAGCGAAAGCCCCCTTTCCCCATCCTCTCCCCAGCAGGCTCCCCGTATCACTCGACCCGGTGTTGGGGTCACTGGGCTAAAGGGCAGTATCACAGTCTTTCTCTCATTTCCTACTTTTCCATCTGAAAAGTCACTTCGGGTTCGTTCTCCCTTTTCCCCTCCATTCATTCTCTGGAACCTCCATTTTGTTTTCTCTAGAATAAGTCCTTCTAAAATTGTCTCCCTTTTTATTTTCTTTAGAATCATTTAGATGTTAGATTTCCGTATGTTCTACAAGGACCGGTGTGTATTTTGCTTCCACTTTCTCTATTCATAAGTGGTTTGTCTGGGGATAGGAGCTCTTCATGGCTGGAGGACTTGTGTCTTTTCAGAGAGTGGCACCATTCCCAAGGCAATTACCACTATGCAGTTCGCGGAGGCTTGAAACTTAAGTGCAAGCGAGCAAAGCAACACAACTCACTCATGGGTTGGATCGGGTTTGAGAAGGGTAATGGACAGTATCAAAACGGGACTTTATCAAATGACTCATTAAAACTACAAGAACGAAATCTCTGCTGGAGAACTGACATCTTGTTTTGTATGTGTGTTTGGGGTGTGGGGAAGTGAATTTGCAGAAGTAGGTTGTCTTTAAGTGGTCTTGGAAATAAATACTCTTTATTAAAGTATTAAAGATATAAAGATATAAAGACGAAATGGAAAGCTCACCTGCAAACAGAATTTAGGAAAGGTGAGGATGGGATAAACTAAGCGGGTGTTTCCAAGAAAACTCTCTCTGCCACCTCAAACTAGAAACAGCATTGGTGCCCGGATGCTGCAAAAGTCCCTTCCAGAACTTTCTGAGTTCTGCAGCGTCCTAAACGGGTGCGGTTGCTGAGGAAGAACCGCTCACCTTCACACCTTTCGCGCCCTGCCACACCCCCACACGTCTCCTCCCTCCCCGGGGCGTTTGTTTACGTGACTTTGCGTAATAGTCAGGCACCGCCCCCCGCCCCTGCGGGGCCGCCGCGTTTCCCGCGCCGCGCGGCTTCTCCCCATAAAAGGACAATAGAGGCCGCGGGAGCGCGCGCGGACGCCCTGCCCTCTCCCCGCCCAGCCCGCGGCGCGCACGCGCCCGTATGCAAATCAGCTCGATTCAAGAGAATTTGGTCCCTGGGAGCCGCGCGTGCGCAGAGCGAAAGCGGAATCTACACCTCCGTCCGCGGTAGCAACTGAAGAACTGCTGGAGACAATCTTTCTGGACTCCGCGCAGGCGGAGGGAGTGCTTGCAGGGGGTTGGCCTGGTGCAATCCGCACCGTGGGGACGCTGCTGCGCGTGGAAGGTGAGTGATTCTAGCCGGGACAGTGGTGCAAAACTGTCTGCGAGGCCCCGCTTTTTCTGCGATTTTTCTTTCCTCCCTTTACCTCCCCCGCCTCCCTCCGTCCTTCCCATACACAAACACACAGGAAGTTTTGTCTTGGAGATGGCATCGCGTGGAGCGCTGTCCTCGTGCTCCGCGGACTCCGGATTCCTTTGTACGGAGGTGTTGGATGTGCGCGTCTTAATTGGGGAGGGTATTGGAGGTAAACCGAAAGTCAGGGTGTGGGGAAAGTGAGTGCAGCGTGGAAACGAACGGGCAGCGGCGGAGTTGCATCCACGCTGAAGGTGACAATGACTTTTCTCAGTAGTAGTGTCCCCCCCCCACCGACCCCGAGAGCCGAGTCGAGGTCGCGGAGCCCGTGTGGGCTCCGGCCGTGGTCTCGTGCGCCGCGGAGCCACCCGCATGTTGCACTCCCGCGGCGCTCGCGATGGCTTTGCACGCGGGTGCACAACAAAGCCGGAGCTCGGAAACTTCAACTTGCCACCGCCTGGAGCCGGCGGCCACGCGGGGCTAAGGGCAGCCGGCGAGGGCCAGCGCCGGGGCTGCGCGACGCACGCGGCGTGGCGTTGTTGGCCAAGTCCGCAGGGACGCGTCTGCGACAATGAGCGCGCAGCACGCGGTCCCTTGCACTCGGGCCGGCGCCAGCGGTCTCTGCAGCCCCGAAGTTCGCCGCCGGTCTGGTCACCTGTAGCGTGGGTGCGGGCGTCACGCGAGGGGGGAACCGTGGCCCGCGCGCGGAGTCCAGTCGTTCGGATGGAGGCGGCGACACAGTCCGCTGCAGGAGGCACCCAACTCTTTTTCCTTTCTTTTTGTGTGTGTGTGTGTGTGCGTGCGTGTGTGTGGGCTCCACCTGACAAGCCACGTGCTCGGGGCCGCGGCCGGTCTGCGTCCTGAGTGTCCGGCTCCCCGTGAGCCTGCGACTGCGGTCGCCGTCGGGGCCGTCGGGAGCAGGACAATGTGATTTCCTGGTGATGGCGTCTTGCCAGTTTCCGAAGCACAGCGAAAGTCGCCAACTCGCGGCGTGCGCGCGGCGGGGCAGCTCCGGGCGTTCCTGACGGAGGGGAGGACTCGGCAAAAGTTTGGCCCCGGGGGCCGGCGGCCGAGGGCGCCCGAGCTCTCCCGGGGGCCTCGCGCGCAGGGTCCCTGTCGCCCCGACGCCGCCGGACAACAAAGGGCCGCGTGTGCCCGAGCGGCGCGGGCCGGGCGGGGCGCGGGGCGGCTTTTGTCCCTCGGGTCCTCTCGGAAACTTCAGCGGCGGCACAACGGGCGAGCCTGTGTCCGTGGGGGCGCCCCGGCCCCGCGGGTCACCGATGCGGCGCGACGGAGCGCGGCTCGGCGGGGCGCACGCGTGGCCCGAGCTCCGGGGAGGCACGGAGGCCGCGTCTGGGAGGTCCGTGCATCCGCCTTTGAAGTGGAACTGTTGCCATGTTTGAATTACGTCAGGCCGAGCGTGCGGAGCGGCCCGGGAGCGGAGGCGCGGCCTTCGGGCGGCGCCGGCGGGGCGCGCGGGCCGTTGTTCCGCGCAGGTGAGGGCGGCGGGGGGCACGTGGGGCCCGGCAGCCCCGCGCTCCGCACGCCTTCGTGGAGTGGAGCTCCGCGCCCTGCCCCCTGACCTCCGACTACACGCGCGGAAGTTTCTGGGCTCCGGGAAGTGGCGGCTGAGGAACTAGGGGTGCGTGCCGTGCCGCCTTTGTGTGTTTACACGTGGGGCGAGCGGCGAAGCGCAGGGCAGGTTTGGCAGGGCGGCTTTCAGACGCGGTGCACTGTGTTCTGGTGACCAGCACCCCAGCCCGCCTCTTGTTTTTATTTTATTCTCACCTTGCATTACTGCAGGTGATGGATGACTGTAGAGACAGACGCTCACCGACCACCCCCACACCTCCCGCACCCATGTTAGGAGTTCCTTCCTTGTAGGCTCTTCTCCTATGTCGCCCCATGTTTTGTAAAGATTCAGGCAACTTTTGCCTTCTTTTAGTAAGAGATAGACGTGCAGCTTGTTATTAGCAGTGTACCGAAAGCACCTGCTTTTGAACTGAAATTTGCCAGACTTGAAAATAATTTTTAGTGATCTGTACTGCAAAACTGAACACGTTTAAATTGCCCACTCTAAGAGAAGGTCTGGAATTCGCTTTGGAGTCCGCAAAGCAAAGAAGAGTATCAAGTACTCAAGGGATGATTCGGAGGATGTTTTGTGTTTTGGCATTGAGAAATACAGGACACACAGTTCTCAGAGATGACCTTGAGGGCTTCTGAATTGGGGAGTCGGCTCTGTCAATGCTGGGAGGAGGCGCTGGAGCTGGAGTGGCTATGAAGCCCTTGCTAGCTTCACAGTCCCTGGGAACTGGGTTGACCTTCCGGTTACCCCTCTTAGACATTTTTTTTTAACCTAACTTTTTTGGTATGTGGCTCCAGGCATAGCTCAAAAATTATGCTGGTTTGACACATGGATGCTTCTTTGGTATTTGGGGTTTGCCTGCAGTCTAGACTTCGCCAAGGCGGTATCTGCTGCTGCTTTCCTTATTTCTCAGGTGTCTCAGTGACTTTGTTAGCATCTAGGTGTGGCATTGACTGGGAAATAACGTTAAATGCTTTGCCCCACGTGCGCTATACAAATTGAAATCAGTTTTTTTCCTGTTTATTGTTTTGTTATTAGAGAAACACTATGCCACCACACAAATTGAAATCAGTTCTTTCCTGTTTATTGTTTTGTTATTAGGGAAACGCATTCCTTTCACGTTTTGTTTGACCAGGTTAACAATACTGAAAAAGCATCTTGGGGTGCTTTTTTTCCCTAAGTGACTAGAGAAAGCATGTCAAGAAAATGAAAAGCCTTGGATGTTATGGCCTTAACTTTCTTTTGGGTGACTTCTGGGACACTTTGCAAACATTTGACCTGTTTTTTTCTTTTGTTGTTTTGGTATTTCATAGACCACTTACTGTAAGTGGAAAGACTAGGAAAGTCAACACACCATGTAGAACTAAATGTTTCTGTTCTTATAATCGAATGATGTCTGTAAAAGAGACTTTGAGTTAAGAGAAAAATAAAAGCAAGGTCTTGACTCCCTTGTGTTGTTTTTGTGGGTGGTTGGAGATTTTAAACAGCATTTGAGCATTTATTTGAGGCCAGAGGGCTACTTGGAGGAGTTGGGTATCTCTACCACAATAGTTTCGGGATCACATTCAGGTAGGTGGTCAGGCTTTATTGGCTGAGATAACTTGCTAGCCCTGTTTTGGTCTTTTGAGACAGGGTTTTGCTTTAGCTTTGGAGCCTGTACTGTAGACCAGGACGGCCTCTAGAACTCACAGAGATCCACCTGCCTCTGCCTCCTGAGTGCTGAGATTAAAGGCTTGCCCTACCACTGCCCGGCAGTAGCCGTGTTTTAAACACCCACCCCCAAAACTTGGTATGCTTGTGTTTTGAACCCCATGTTTAACTCATGTTATATAAGTGTTGTACCACTGTGCTGCCTCCACAACTATAAAATAACTAACCCCTCCGACGAGGGGGTGGCATTCTTTGTGTTCTGGAATTCTCTGTAGATCCGGCTGGCCTCGAACTCAAATCTGCCTGCCTCTTGTCTCCTGAGTGCTAGGATTAAAGGCATGTGCCACCACCATCCGGCTGAAATAAACATTTAAAAGGAAAAAAATGTTCTTTTTTTCTTCTTTACAAAGACTTTATTTTTATGTGCTTTGTCATTTTGCCTGCGTGTATGTCTGAGGGTCCTGCCCCCCAGGACCTGGACTTGCAGGTGCATACCATTGTGAGCTGCCTTTGTGGGTGCTGTGAATTGAACTGGGGTCTCTTGGAAGAGCAGCCCCTTAGCTGCTGAGCCATCTCTCCAACCTCAATGGAAAAATCTTAAGCCAGCTTCCTAAGGCTGCTTGCTTTGAGAACAGTTAACTTTCCACGGCAAGCCCCATAGCTGTTGCTTTAGAACTATGTCCTCTTTCTTGGCCGTAGAGTTGGCTTGCTTGCTGCTAACTGAAGGCCTGAATTGGGATCCCAGCACCTGTAACTCAAGCTTCAGGAGATCCAGCGGGTCTCTCCTGGCAGCCTCTTTGGGCACCCTCACACTTGTGCTAACACCACATGGACATAATACACATAGTTTATAACAAATCTTTTAAACATTTGAGCCATCTTTCAACTCCCGAAAAACAAAAAAAAAATCACCCCCCCCCCCCCCTTGCAACCAGAGATGGTAAGACTGGGAAGAAAGGTAACACATTCAGAAGTTTCTGGGATTAAAAAATGCCTAGGATGGGGGCCGAATGCACCTTTTAAATATTTAATCCCAGCACTTAGGCAGAGGTTTACAGGAAGGATATCTGAGTTTGAGGCCAGCCTGGGCTATCCATCCAGCTCCAGGGCAGTCAGGGCTACCCAGAGAGACCCTGTAGGAAAAGAATGCCTAAAGTGGGAAGCAGCAATCCTTTGGTTCACTTTGTCCAGTTTTCCCTTGTGTGGTAATGGCACTGACACCTATGTGGGTAGTTAAGTATCTTACAGATGGCAGTGCTGAAGTTTAGGTCAGTTGCTTTCCCCAGAGAAGCAGTTAGTGCTGAGTGGGAAAAGTGGGTGCTTGGTCCCTTCCCCCACCACCAGAAACCAGTTCTGGGAAGACACTGCCCTCAACTTCTGTTTGTCCTTCAAGATCTGATTCAACCATTTTACATCAAAAAGTCCGGTGAATACCTAGTAAATGTCACCACTTTGTTCCTGATTTCTCTACAGCCCTTCCCTGCGTGTCCCTGCACTTTGCATTCTTTGCAGATTTAAATTGGAAATACTAAGTAAGAATTGGGTTCTTAGAAATATGAAGAATTTTGGTAGTGTAGGAATAAATCGAAACATCTAGTCCAAAAAGAAAGGCATTTGTTTTCCAGGTGAGGAGGCTGTCTTTGTCCACCAGGAATACAAAGGTCACAGGCCACAGATATTTGTTATTACAAATATT